GGGAAAGAGAGCCCTCTTTGCCTTCCCCGGCTCTTCTCTTTGTGTCTCAGTCAGCCATTGATTGTTAGCAGAAAGTCGAAGGACTTCAGCTGCCTGGGACCGCTTTTGTCCTGGGTAGCCTCTGGAGTACATCTCCTCTACCGCCCTTACACCTTCTGCCCATGCTGGGCTGGCCCCTAGGAGGTCCCCACTCCACAGCTTTGGTCACCAAAGGGTCTGCAGGGCCCACAAACAGCCCCCTGCCTGCTGCTCTTGCATCAAACTTTGCAAATATAGATTAGGATGGATTTGGCTTTTACCTTCTGGAGAATTAAAAAATGACCACCAAACAAAACCTCATCTCAGCCAAACAAAACTGACCAAATGAAATCTCATCTCACTGTCTACATGAAGGCATCATATTTCTGTCCTTGTTTCAGGGACACATGGATGCAGTGAGAGCTGTTTTTTCTGGAGATCATTTGGAGATCATTTGCCATCGATCTCTCTGGTCTCTGTTTTCTCAGTCTTTACATACTTTCCACCAACAATACCTGGTAATCAGATAAGAGAGACTTCCTTGTTACATTTCCTCTTGGAATTATTTTATGTAGTATTTCTATATAATCAGAATTGACTGGAATTTCCACTTCTAACCACTTTGAACCTCTCTCTAATAACTCCCTGGCCCAATGGTATGAAATTAAAGTAAACTTTTACTATGGAAAAGGAGGAGGTGACAGAGCAGGGATCTTTTTATCAGGCAGAATTGCAGAGACAAAAAGAGACTACTTATAAAAGTAGGCTAAACTATTGTTTAAAGGTTGATCAATAGCTAAAAATATTGCTTTAGCATATTATTATTGAATTTAGGACACCTAGGAGGATACATTATTGATGGCATCCCTTGTGGTCCAATATGTCTGTAAGAAAAATAAAAAGGCTTTATGATTTAAAGATTAGAAGATTCTGCACTTACAAGCAATAATCAAATTCACAATCGATAAACACCTGCTCACATAGGAGCACGGTTTTTGTGGACAAAGAGCCCTGTGTATCTCTGTCCCTACCATGAAATCGGACATGCCTCAAGAAAAAATGCTTCTTGTGCATATACAGTGTGTCTTCCCTGCACAGACACTACATATAGAATTATAACATAATTCAAGCTCTAAGGGGTCTCTAGAGATCATCTAGTCCAACCTCCTGCTCACACAAGGTAAAACTCAAAAGTCAGATCAAGTTGCTCAGGGCCTTGCCCGGGCAAGTTCTGACTATCTCCAGGGCTGGAGAGCCCACGAGCTCCCTGGGCAACCCATTCTTGTGCTTGACCACCCTCTCTGGCAAGACCTTCCTTTTCTTATGTCGGCCTGGTATTTCCCCTGCTGCAGCTTGTGACCATTGCCTCCTGCCTTTTTGCTGGGCACCTCTGAGAAGAGTCCAGCTGTGTGTTGTCTGTGGTCACTCATAAGGTAGTGGAAGACCCCAAAACATCCCCTCTCACCCTTCTTTCCTGCAGGCTGGACCAGCCCAGCCCCTGCAGCTTCTCCTCGTGTGCCACGGACTCCAGCGCCCGGCCCATCTTTGGCGGTCTTCTGCTGCACTCAGTGCAGCATGGTAATCTCTCTCTTGTAGCGGAGAGCCCAAAACCACGCACAGTATTCCAGATATGACCTCATAAATACGAAACAGAGGGGAGGAACGGTTGCCTTTATTGCGAGTACAGCCCAGCGTGCCATGAGCCCTCAGTGCCACCAGGGCGCACTGCTGACTCGTGTTCAGCTCCTCGGCCTCCAGGACCCCAGGTCCTCTGCAGAGCTGCTCCCCGACAGTGCCTCTGCATGGGGTTGTTCTGCCCTCGGTGCGGGGCTTGGCCTTTGGTGAACTTTCTGAGTTCGGTCGGTCCATTTCTGCAGCCTGTGCAGGTCTCTCTGAACAGCAGCCCTACAGTGTAGTATCACTGCTCCCCTGCTTAGGTGGGAACTCGCAGAGAATGACTCTATCTCATCATCCAGGGACAAAAAGATAAAATAGTATCGCCACCACTGTTAAAACTTGAAGAATGCCACCAGCAACCTAGACTCCAGTTGGCTTTTAACTGCTGATCATTGCTCGTTAAGCCTGGCAGTCCAGCTAGTTTTGCACTCATCTTGGGTTTCACCCATTCAGCTCATCTCTCTCCAGTTTGACTACAAGTATACTATGGAAGACCGCGTTGCAAGCCCTGGTAAAGTGAAGGTGTACCTACTGCTTTCCCTTCATCCATGACACCAGTCACTTCATCATAGGCAGCAATCAGGTTTGTCAAACAGTGTTTGCTCTTGGCAGATCCACACCGGCTCTTCCCAGTCACCCTCTTCTCTCCCCTGTGTGTAGAAATAGCTTCTAGGAGGAATTGCTCTGTAATCCTCCCAGCAACTGAAGTTAGGCAGAGAGTAATTGCACATGCACAAAATGACCAGGCTCCATGCGAGCAGTTCATCTGGTGTATCCCTGAATTTTTGGGCATCCTTTGCACACACCGCACTTCTGTCAGCAGGCTGCAGCAGCTGGTGCTCACCAAATCCCAAGGCTCTGTAAAACACAGGCAGCGCATGCACCACCGGCTCTCTTTGCCACTCCCAGGGCCCTAACTGAGCCCTGCAACTAGATACAGCAACTAAGCACAGGTACTTGACCTGCAGTTTTATATAATACTTCACTTGGAAAAGAAGAAAATGGGATTTTTGTTTCCTTTCCTTTTCTTTTTTTTTTTTTTCATTTTAAGGCATTTTCTCATAATTTGAGACTCACATTCCTTTCAAAACTATTTAAGGCCTGTGGGATAAAAAGAAAATAACAAAGACAAAGTTTATATAGAAATGAGAGTCTCTCCAAAATTGAAGTCATGGAGCATGGAGTGATTTTACTGCATATTTTTATCACTTTTCATACTTCTTCTTTACTTACTGTCATCTCAAAGGAGTGCAAGTATTACATTTTCAAGAGGTGATAGTCCTTTGTATATAATAATATTGTCTCTTTCTTGGAGACACTTGCAAATTTAAACTTTCAAGATGAAAATAAAACCCGCTCTGAGCAGCTAATCTAAACCAGACCTTTATTTTTTGTATCCAGTTTATAACTAACAGGTGTAACATTATGCACAAATTATATATAATCTTGGGCATGTACTAGTATATAGTTTCTACCTACATACGGATATAATTCAGCCCAAGGACAAAGTATGCCGGGAGTTCATGGACACAACCTGTCTTTTCTCAGGTATTGTGGAAGCTGTGGAATATCCATCCCTGGAGTTATTCAAAATTCAGCTGGGCAAGGAATACATACATACATATGTACATTTAACAATGGGTTTAAATTTATGGTAGGTTTAAGGGGAATATTCTACAGATAGTATTGTTCTCTGCTGCATCTTTACCCACAGCTCTGAGACACTGCGTTCCTTGCACCAGGCCCTGCATAACTTATCATAATACTTGAGGATTTAAGTGATGGATGCATCTTCATATGCAAGTGAATTTTACTCTAAATTATTCTCTGCTAGCTAGGGGAAGATAGACATATCCATTTGGAAACTAAAAAAATAATTAAAAATAAAGCTAGGCTTTTCAAGGGAGATGTTAGTGTCAAGAAACATTCCAGAAGAAGAATAATTTGTATTTGACTTCTTTTTCTTTTCCTTTAAGGGTGGAATTATCTTTATGATCGGATGACAAGTGTTCTCCTGACTATCTTGACAGTCTGTAGGAGTGAGAAATAATGAAAGCATTTTTACCATCGTTATGTTTAAAAATCTTAATTAATTATAAACATTGGCAGGACTGATTCTCACTTAACCTTGGACCCCTTTCATATTGCACTGGCAATGCAAAGAGGATCAACTGTTAAGTAAGAGCTGGAATTGATAAAATTTGGATACACACTAGTACCGAAAAGCTCAGGAGAAGGCCAAATGAGAGATTCACTACATCCCTTTCCTCTGATATGCATAACAGTATCTCTGTTAGTATTAATCAGACTCTGACCCTCTAAATATCAAATAGCAGCCACCTTAAGGCTCAGAAAAGGAGTTAACTCTTCCTCTTATTCACATTATTGCTTAGCTGATACTTGGAATTGTATCACTCTTCCCTTGTTTCCAATT